ATTGAAGCAACTGCCATGTGATTGGTTGATTAGATAATTGCATTAATGAGAAATTGAACAGGTGTTCCTAATAATCCTTTAGGTGAGTGTAATTACTATCAAATAATGATTAAAATACTAAATAATGATAAACAGAACACACAATGGTTATTAATATTGATCGATACATAAAGTATCTCACGGTCACAGCCGTTTCTCTGTTCACAAACGCTGAAGACTGATCAAGCTCCTGCATTTTCCCAGAAATCACAGATTGTCTGAAGCCCGCTGTGCTTGTTGCCTGGTGGCCGTATTAGTGGTACAGAAAAAATACACAGCTGATTTCTAGGCTTACTGTTATATGGCAGCTATAGACCCACCCCGTGCTTTGCGTGGTAAGGGCCCACCCACCCCGTGCTTTGCGTGGTAAGGGCCGACCCACCCCCCACTTTGCGTGGTAAGGGCCCACTTCTAACTCCGGCCTATAATTTCTAACAAACGTTACAGGAGGCTAGATCACCCTTGAGTTAAAGTGTTTGCATTCTTCCTTAAATCTTAATGATAAAATATTTTATAGTTCTTTAAAATAACACATTTTATACTTCATTGAAATAACCCATTTAAGGTCCCTTCTTTAAAACTTAAATACTTATTTGCGGCTGGTGTGCACAATAAGTGCTACTTCTGGGAAGGACCCGCCCACTTATTGTGACCCTGAAGGAATACCATGTAAGTCCCGCCCATTTATGATGTCATGACTCATTAAGTGCTGCTTGTACTGCCTATGAACATTCTTTTTTCTTGCTATATATGAGTGACAGTCTGCCTTGTGGCATTGTAGTCAATCCCTACTTGCATTCTTTATGCAAATAAAAAAAAATTAAAAAGTTCTTTCAGGTAAAGAGTGAAACCTGATCTGATGACTTGATGGGTGTTTGAGAGGCTAAGTGAAATGGTTTAAAGCTGCCTGTGCCAAAACACACAATGCTAATAATATACTGAAAATAAAAGGAATGAAGGAAAACAGAGGATTTAAGCAAATTAAGCCATGATGCTACCTATAGAGTATAAACAATATCTTCTTCAGCTTTACAAATTGATAAAGAATAATAGGGAGAACAATTTGAAGGTAGAACATTGTCTATATTTTCGTACAAAAGAAAGAAAATGGCTTGTTCCCACCAGGTGGCATGTTGGCTTTATATTAGCCTTGTCGCCTCACATCACCATGGTTACTGGTCTCATTGTGTGTGCGTGTGTGTGTATGTGTGTGTATGCCCTATCCAGACTGTACTCACTCCTGCACCTGTACTCAGACTCAGTTTAATGGATGATCCTCTCGACTAAAGTATCTCATTTTGAATGGCATTGAGACCATAAATGCTTTGATGACCAGGTCCTTTCAACGTGCATGGAATGCGACTGCATTGCGCAATGCTCACACACATTTTGCACATTAAGGATGTAATATGTAATAATGGATGTTGTTGTAATCATCTATCTATCTATCTATCTATCTATCTATCTATCTATCTAACTTTCTTGCCTGGAGAATGCGCCCAATTAAAGTTTCATAGTTTCATATCTACATGACAATAAAAGTTGATGTGTCACTCAGCAGTTCTCAGCTCTGTGTTTGTGTCAGAAGGTCACAGGTTATAATTCCGGAATAGTCTACTCACTGTTGTGCCCTTTAACCCCATAAATGCTCCCCGGGGGACTGGATAAATGACTGACCTTGTGCCTCGTTCCCACTTGTGTACGTCTTAAAAGAGAGCAAAATGGGATACATAAAAGCCTAAGAATTACAATGCACTTGTAGAAATGTCAAATAAAGCTTAATTTCATTCATACTGTGGTTACAAATGATGAACGAGTTACCAAAATTCCCTGAACAAAGATAAACACAAACTAACCACCTTGCATGTGACCTGAGGCGAAACAGCTTATGATGACCATATTTAAGATTTTCCAGAGAGACAAATTCTCCCTTTAATTTCCAAACTTAGCTCCTGAGGAAGCCTTGTGGGCAAGGTTAATATTATATTATACTGTAAGTTTGCATGCTGACAATCTGACAGCTGTTAAGTGTTTCAACTGCAGCCATCCATCATCTAACCACTTATCCTGGTCAAAGTTTCAAAGGTCGGAAAACAGACTACACGTTGTATACGGACGGGTACACCAATACATATATACCGTACATACCGACATGCACACATAATAAGATGCTGCAACGTCCATTTATGGAAAAACACTTAAAGGTACAGTTAAGCATCTATTTAAAAACGACTTATTGCTTTGTGCTTACAAAGAGTGCATTCGCTTTTCCTTTCATTATTATCATTTGGTTATAGCCTTGATAATATTCTCAATTACTTTGTAGTTTCCTTAAAATTGAATTCGACTGGTACAATACAACACGCATTATTCATATTAAACATATTTTTCGCAATATTTTACTCGGAAATTGGTTCCGTTGGTAATAACGCAACAGCAGGTAACCAAAAAGATTTTATGGTCCTGTAATGTAAATATGCCGAGCGCGTTTCCAATCAGCGATTTTACAGACACCCCAGCCGCACGCCTCGCCCACAAAGCACTTAAAGACCGCGCACGACACACGTATTCGCTATACATGGGACGCTGTAGTGGGCAGACGGAGACGACCTAATTGAGACACGGATTCACGCTTGATAGGCTTCGCTTTAATTAATGAAGAGAATGCCTAGTTGTCTTCCATGATGAGGATATTTGCGGGTACGACGTTTTTTGCTTTTTTTTTTGTTGTGCGCCGGCTTACTGTTTACGGTTTATTAACATCATCATCATCATCATCATTATTATGGTCATTGTTATTATAGTTGTTGTGGTTCTTTTATGCTTGGTCTCAGTATGTTTAGAAATACTTATACGTAACATAAAATGCAATTAACGTTTCGACTGTACCTTATTCTAAATCGCTGTGTAGGCTCCAAATGAACATGTACTACAGAAGATATTCTTGACTGCGCCTCTTATTGACACAAATAATCCATTAACTGCCCTTGTAGCTAAATCGACTGACTGACCCAACTGACTGAATGTTCCAATAATCTAAAATGAATAGATTTTTTGTCGGTTTGTTAGGCACGTTTGGCAAGCGGAAAATCCCTCTTATTTCTGTTTCCGTATTAAATGTGATTAAAAATGCATTGCCACGTTCAGATTAATCATTGCATTAACTTAAATGATGCCGCACCAACAACAGCAGTCATTGTCAGCCTGTATGACTAAAATCGTGGTATGTCTCTCTCATAGGGGACCGTTTGACAGCTCGGCGTTTATTGTGAATCTTCCAGGGTTCGTAACGGCGGTTTTGGATACACGTTGTAATGACATGCTGGCTACAATTAACATGCTTCGTTTTTTGCTTTATTTTTTCATTACGTTGTGATAGTTCTAATTGAGTAATTCATTGTAAATGATTTACGTGATCAGATATTTTTGCTTGCATGTAATCTTACAATTAAATACATTACATAATAAAACTACACAAAATAAAATGGACCGCTTTTAGTAAATTCTGCCGATCATCATAGTAAAAACTGCACGGATAGGCCTAATGTAAAGGCAATCGAAAACAGACTGAAAATTTCTCGGTAGTTTCCTTTTTGACGACGAGTCCTTTTTTAAGGTAGACATGCTTTAATCGTTTAAGGCAATTGTGTAAAGCTAGCTGTCCTCCTTTATCTCGTATGACTGACTCGATTAAACACCTACAAGGTTTGTCTATTAGTTTAACTTTTCTTTTTAAAACCCTAAGACGTAACGGGCAAAAACTGTTTGTTTGAACGTGCTGAAGCAAGATTTAACGTTTTGTAGGGTCAGTTACCTAATCTGGGACAACGCGGTGGGTAAAATAAAGATTCCTGGAATCTAAAAGAAAATCACAAAGTTTTAACAACATGTTCAAATATTGATTTGACTAGAGCTGCAGCTACCGAATATTTTGTTGGGCCTGTACTTTTAATGATAGGCTATACAACATTATACATGCATGTTTTTAATTGCAATTAAAATATTATAATGATAGTTGACAGCCCATTTAACAATCTTTCCCCTCCCCCAAAGTCACCTAGCTGTTCTGTACCGGCACTTCCAATGTTCTAGGGGTGTAAGCAAGCCAGTTTCACACTGTCTTGGAAAATGACCATCCTGCGGAAGTGAAATTGCCTGGCCACTTATGTGGGCCTATATATTATAATGAAGGAATGTCAACACATTGACAATCTTGGTTCAGGCTGGCTCAGCTATTGGTCTGCTCTACCCATAGTTAAATATGGTTGGTGTCTCACCACAACATTTAAGTAAGAATTTCACTGTATTTGGTACGTGTGATAATAATATTATTCAACTGAACTCCAGTGTATTACTGGTTGGTGACTACAGAGAAGGATATATCTGGGCAATAAGTGCTGAGTGATTTAATTGCAATCGTTAGCAGTAAACCATTCGCCAATATTTTGAACTGTCAATGAAAATTGTCTATCTCTAAAATCTCTAAAACACTAGCTGATTTACATATCTGGTTTCAGTCCCTGATCATTCAATTTTTATTGTCTCACCTTGAATTTTTCTTTTAACATTGAACGCGCGGGGTGCTGTGGTGGCTCACTGGACAGCACTGTTGCCTCTTACCACTGGATTTGGGCTTTTGAATTCTGCCTCGTCTCATTGCATGTGGAGTTCGCATGTTCTCCCTGTGCGTGGTTTTCATTCTGCAGTTGGCTGGTATCCCATTCAGAGTTTACCCCAGCATTATGCGACCTGGGTTTTGTTCCAGACCCCTTAAGATTTTGACCAGTGTAACTGGTTAGAAGATAGATGGCTGTGGTTTGAAGAGTTAATGGACTTGTGAATATGTCAGCTTGCAAGTTTTTAGTATATTATATTTCTAGTCTTACTCTACTGGCTTCCCCACAAGCTAAATATGCAAATTATAAAGGGAGTCTTTTGTCTGATTGCTCTTAAATACAGTGGTACCTCAGAATTCGAATTTAATCCATTCAGATCGAACTCCGGATCGAATCCTAATGAGTTCGAGTTCTGATCGAATTATCCCCATAAGAAATAATGGAAAACCAATTAGCCCCAAAAATTACTCCTAAATATGTTTTTTTAGCATCTAAACACAAAATGAACCGGATAAAACAAGAAGAGCATATATACTGTATTAAACACATCTAATCACATTTATCAAAACAGTGATTTGTAAAGTAAGAAAATAAATGTGTCCAAACAATGTGCCCTGCCCCAATTGTCCGCTCCTTCCGTGTGCCACGCCTCCTCGTTAACCCCGTGTGGAATCCCCGTGTGATTAGCTGTTTCTGGTTGTTGTCATTAGTCCTCAGTATTTAGTCCACGTGTTCAGGTCTGACACAGCGTGGTCAGATTCAGATTACTTTAGCTCAAGATAATTTGGCTAAGACATTAATCATTTGAAATAATGGTGTTCCTGTTAGGCTTGTCTCTGCAATTTTAGCATAGAGTTCAAATTGGCATGTGGATGTAGTAAAAAGAAATGCTTACTCCTCTGCATTATTGAGAGTGTTATTGTTTTTTTGTTGTTCGCTTTATCTTCTACCTTCACCTTTTCCAAGCCATTAGAGTTCATCTGGTCTTTAATAAACCCAAAAAGATCTATCCTGGCCTCAAATGAAAGACTAAGGCCATTCAGCTGTTTGTTTTCCTTGTGGTCTGTAGCTTTGTTATGTCTGTGTCAGAGCCGCAGTTCAAATGCAGCAAGCCTCGTCCTGTCCTACTTCTTCATTAGCACATGTATAAAGAATTAATTTTCTGAACAAGAGTGATCTTCATGTTTCACTTATCAGCACTAATTTTTCTCGTAATTACTTGCGGTTATGGTGATGGACAAATAGGCGGATCGATGCCCCTCCTTTGCCTCACATTTAGGATCAAAGTTTCTATAAGAGCGAAAGCCTGCTTTATAGGTTTGGTTGAAGAGACGTAGCTTCCTGATAATGGTGTCTGTGTGGGCCATGTTTGCCCAAGTTTGTTTCCTAACTGTTGTGCTGATTTTGCTAGTTACAGTAATGCAGCACATATTCCTGTTACTGTAATATGCATATCAAAAAATTTGAAAAGTTGACATATCCTTAATCAGCAATCTTGGATCTGCAGGAACCTTTGAAGTAAGGTTGCAAAAAATTATTTTGCTAACTGATTAGTCAAGTGATCAGATAAAGCATGTGCACTAGTTGCTCATTGGAAAAAAAAAATCAAGACTTTTGTGCAGTACAGCTGTAATAACTTTACACAGTGGCTAGAATCTAGGGATGTAATGGTACAGAAAATTCAAGGTGCAGAACACACCTCTGTTTTGGGTTCATGGTTTAGTGCAGTTTCATTACAGGAGGAACACAGAATTAGTTTTGAAGTTATTATTAAAACTGCAAACACAGTTATGAATAGTTATAAACCAAACGAAAGGCAGTTTGTCTGAATAAGAAGAGATTCTCATTTGCACACTAAAAATAAACATGTAAAATAAACAAAAATTCCCAAATAAGACTGTATCATAACAATCTGTCACGGGGCGAGGGACGAAGGACTCCGGAGCAGGCGTGATGGCGAAACAAAAGGGGATTTTATTGGAACTTAACGGAATTAACACAGGAAATAGCATTGGTAGGGATCCAAAACCGGAGTACAGGAACTAGAGAAGGCACGGGGAACAGACATGTTTGACGTCAAAGGTAGGACTGGGGAACACAGGGATGAGAAGCACAAATATACAGGACTGAGCAGATAAGGTGCAGTTGGAGTGATTAAAAGGAGGGCAGGAACAAGAGGTAAGGCAAACATTTAATAGGTGTGGTTAGGGTTAGGGCCACATTAGGGGGGAAACAAGGCATGACCGTACCGCAACCAACCCTCCCTCCCCTCCCAAAATGTGACCTCTGGGCACAAAGGACAAGCAGGGGAGGGGACCAAGGTGACTGAACGACATGGTGGACACAAGGGGCTGGGACAACTGACAAGACAGCGAACGACAGGACTGACCGGACACATGGGAGTGACCCACGAGACAGAGCCCCCGGACAGGCCAAGACAAGAGATGATGGAACATCAGATATACTAACACAGGACATAGGAGCAGATATAGGACATTACTAGGGGCACAGAGCAGACCAGGGCAAGACCAGTGACAGCAAGGGGGACAACAGCCACGACACTCGCCAAGACCGTCAGACGAGTGATTTACTGTAAATTATGTGGGGGGGTCCTTGAGCTTTTCAGCACTAGCCGTAACCAACTCACAGCCACTATTGGCATGTTTTCCCTGTTTGAACGTCTAGCTGCGGATTTAAGTATCCCCCACGTTAAGAAATGTATTCATTCATTTCATTGTGCATACAGAACTGAAAATGATGTGCCCAGTTGGCACACAATAAACACATGCACTGTTACAGCCCTGAGAGAATCACTATTTAATGCATCTGTTTGACAGATGTTGCAGGATACTGATTTCTTTGATTTAGCTTGCTAATTAATGATGGTACTAAACACACCGTTAATGTTGCTTGTGGTGATGTCATTATATGCAATTTACACAGCAATCGGCAAAAATGGGTACCTATTGACGGAAATTTTCATTGTTAATTAGGCCTATTTTCATTACTGATTACCAAATGTTTTAGATTCATTGTTTCATTGTTATATGGAATATAGAAGGATTATCAGTTCTTGTCTGCACGTGGGTGTGCTATTTCTATTGTGCTAAGTCTATTTTAGCAAAATAAAGGCTATTGACTAGGTGATGGCAGAACTGAAAAAGACCATAGAGAACAGATACATTTCTACATTTCGAGCCGACATTTCTACTGCATGTTTTCTTCCTACAGATGTTTATTTTCACCCCTTTTCCTGTTTAATCTTGCCATTGATTTTATCTCCTGGTTCATTCCCTGACTTTTAATCAATGAATTGGACATAAATGATATATACAATATATACAGTAAACTGGTGAAATTTGCAGATGACACCAAGGTGGGTGGTGTAGCAGATACTGAACTAG